ACCTCTAGAGTCTCCTCAATTTTTTGGCCAAATCTTCTTTTAAAGTTGTGGATGAGTTTTCCCAGGAGTTGCCTAAGAACCACTCCAAAATTCATGCTCATCCAATGCATTGTTGGACATAACCGCCGAGCTCACCGTCGGTGGCCTCGCCGCCACCAAGGGCGTGGTCGGCGGGCCTTCTAAATGAATTAAATTTGGAGTCTCGGGAAAAGTCCGCCGGGCTAGTCGTCAGCGCCCTAGTTCATTTTGGTCCTTTTCGCTCCAAATTCGCTCTTTTTTGCATCTTTTTGCTCCAATGACCCTAATTCATCATTCCTGCAATAAGACATCAAAAATATCTTTCTTTAAAGTGCAATATCATAAAAAACAGTGTAAAATAGGTATGCAAATCTCAACATATTTTCCTTTGGTCAACTATTTACTTGACTTGACCCCGATGATAACTTATATGAATACCCACATAAATTTAGCTAAAATTATTAGTACAATCATATTGAGCCTTTTTTTTGTATTTACTCTTATACAATATCTTATATGAGAAAAAGACTATTAAGTGTCATCAATCCCAACCAATAATATAAGAAGGAAAAAGTTATCCTTTAAATAAGCTTTATTAATGTGAGTGTTAGTAATGCTTATTCCTTAAGTATTGTTAACTTTTTGAACAAATAACATTGTTCAATTAGGTGGATGCCATACTTCATGAATAAACTTAAGCTCTTCATGTTTATTGATTGCTTGTTCATCTACATAAAAGTGTATAAAGCTAAAAAATTACTTCTTTTTAAATGATGGATTTTATTGTCAAATCCACTTTAAGGGAGAGTGAGTGTAATTATCTCATAATCAATTCTAGGCATATCTATTTACTTCTTTTAAATGATTGATTTGAATGTTATATCCATTTAAGAAAGTGTGTGATTGTCTCATGATTTATTCTAGTCATATCTATCAAACTCAAAATGAAGTCCACATACTCATATATTTCTTTATTAAAGAGTAGAGGAACATATATTATTTAGAAAGGATATCTCTTTAATAGAAGAATATTAACTAATCCTCAATAGAATTCATCCCCATTATCGAAGTTATTAATTCTAAGGGTCATTAATGGGTGTGAATATAATTTTTAAATGAACCTTTTTATAATATTTAATCACTTTCTTAGACAACATTTGAGCTTAACTATGGTTAATACTTCTCTCTTAGGCGAGAAATGAAATTAATAACATTGAATATTAATTGAATGGTACTTCAAAAATTGGCATTACTAGTTGACTCGAGACTGGTTTCAACAAACTAAAATACATATTATTTATTAAGAAAAATACATGAGAGTAACTAGGATGAAGATAATTTCTTCAACTCTAATTAGGTGATTGTTAGGCTTGTATAGCAGTCCTACGATCAACTAGAGCCTCTTGCTAATAAATCGCGGGCCAAGAAATATTTAGTAATATAAAATTGTAACAGAGTTTCAATTATTAATTAAATTCAAATTTATATCATAAAATGGGTCAACGATACTAACATCAATAATGAGTGGGTTATGATGTAAAAACTAGACCCTCTTTAGATCAAAATTATCAAATATTATAGAGAAACTAATATAATATTTTTTTAATATCAAATTTTCCTATGGTGAGCAAAGTACTTTTGGATGATAGTGACCCTGTAATAAATTGTCTTAATTTTTTCAAACCGCCTATTATAATTCTTACCTCCCATTAGGTTCAACATCAAAATGGGCAAGTTTATGACGTGACTAAGATACCTTTAATAAACTAGACTCTCAATTTTCTCCTTAACATTGCCTTAGTGGTACGTCCATAACTTTATTTAAAGTGAAAATAGTGATCTTAATTTTATGTGATTGATTCTAATGGGTTGGTTTAACCACTTAATAATTTTGACACGTGATGCATTGATGGGAGTATACACCTTATTTTGGTCGAATTCAATTTACTAATGAGGAGTGAGATCTTAATTTTTCTTATTACTTGCATTTTCTTTTTAAAGATAGTTAGGTTATATGTTCTTAGACATTCTTTCACTTGCCTCAAGGTTATGTGAGATATATCCAATAATCATTCAAGGTAACCTCAATATGATAGATAATATAAGCATAAAAATTAAATGCATTCCTCACTAATGATGAATAAAATACATTAGTTTATAGACCTTTGATGAAAATCTCTCATAGTAGGTCAAGATTTAACCTTAGAATTTGGTGAGTCTTAAAAGAGAATTTATAAAAGTACTTGTTAAAATATTCCTATTAATCTGGTGAATTTGAAAGAGGTTGGAGAAACCCTTGAGGATCTGCTGGTTTGTGCCAAACTAGTTAGCGAAAAGCCTGATAAGTTCAGCAGAAGTGTTGATAGATACGACCTTGAAAGAGTATAAATAAGCTAATTCTTAATTCTTAAGTGGGCGAACTTTTCAAATGGTTTACTCAAGGTCCACAAAATGATTATGAAAGTCATTTAATAGTTAATATGCTTATAAAGGCCAATTGATCTCTTACAAGTCTATAAATAGACTAAAACCACATCAAAATGGTTGTTTAAGGATAAAATTAATCAACATTAAAAACTTAAAAAAATTATGGCGGTAAGAAAGCTGGTTCTTTCTTTATAATACGAGTTCTATTTAGAGTTGACGTTAAACCTTGTTTCAAAGGTCGTTAGGAGATGTGTTAGCAAGACCACGCCATTCTAATTACACAATGGCTATTAGAGAATTATGAGTTATGTGAGCTGCATAAGAAGGATGTGTGGAGTTAATAATGGTGAGGAGATTGTTATTGGGCTGTGACAAAGGTGAAATTCCAACCTCATAGAGAGAGGGAAACTACAAGAGTGTTCTTAAGTTGATTGGCCCCAACATACAATTGATCTTAATGAAGACAAACTCTATCATGCATCAATGTTATTAAAAGTTGAAATCATCTTTAGAGCTGAATAATTTTTCTTTCATGCCCTTCCAACCTGTGAATACAATCCTCTAATCATAGGCCCGAGGTACCTTTTTGTTGGCAGGGTTGCATTTGTTAAGAAAGAAAAGCATAGATGCCTAACCTATTTGATTAATGATCTGGTTACTAGAGTAATGTGAGCTGGAATATATATGTCCTTTATCAGTGTTATGCTTTGTTTGCCATTGGGAAGGTATTTGGAGAATGAGTGATGGAGGGATTCTTTCTCACATATGATGTCAAGTTATTACATGCTAGAATAACAATGATAATGAATGACGAGTTTAATGTTTTGATGCAAAAATGAGGTTTCTTGCATATATAAGAAGTTAGAGTACATCTATATTTTTTAGATGAAAATTCTGAGCAAGAAGCACATGACCTAGCCCATATGAAATAATTCTAATATTTAAGCATTAAGTTATAATAATTTACCTTTCTTTTGTGCTAGAGAATGCAAGATTTTAAGGCTTTAACTGTTAGACAGACCTTTTGCAAATGAGATGAAGAACATTAAAAATGGAGCAAGGTCATGGACATTGGTGTTAATTGGTAATGGTCATCATTTTTGGGCAATCATGTGTGCCGATGGATTGGTGAAGGTGCACATTAGCTGATCATGGACGATGAATGCAGATTTTGGTTGGTGGCAAATATCAACAATATAGATGATTGGTGATGATGTTATTGATGATGAAATTGGCGGAGGTTGATAACATACGTTAATAAATGTCAACAGTGGCCAATGATGATTGCATTGAAGCGTCGCCTAGGTCTATAAAAAAAACTCGTCGTTCGCGAATAGCTCGTGTTCGGCTCAATAAATAACTCATGATCGGTTCGTTCGGTAAGCAAGTGAGTTGACCATGAACAATTTTTTTGAAATAGATTTATAAGAGAGCTGAAGACGAACAAAAGGTTGTTCGTTCACGTTTGACTCATTTTGGCTCGAAATAATTAAATCTATTTATATCATTTTATATTAAATTTTTATATGTATTAAAAATACTAAATTTTATTATTTTTAAAATTTTTTTGGTTGGTGTAGTTATAAAATTATGTTTAGATGTCAGATATGTAAATAAGTAGAATTTAGATGGTATGCATGTAAATGTTTCTAAAATAGAGTCTCCCCGTCTGATTTCACTGCTGATTTAGGATTCATATATGTAAATACATAAGCGTGCGGTGGTATAGTATGTCAACGTCATTAGATTTCCTTTAAAAAAAAAATCCGCTACGCCCCTTTTTTGCTGTTATGCATACTTAAATACATAAGAATTGGGGGAAATGAATGGCCTTTTTTATTTAGTCCCACATCCCTTATATCAAAAGCAAACCCGATTAAGAATCATATACTTGAAACTAATAAGAATTCAGATTTTTTATTTAAATATAATAAAAAATTAATTTAATTTGGAGTGAAGAATGTGTAAAACTATGTAGCTCATAATTGTGCCGTGAAGAACGAATTTATAATCAAACCAAACACAAACAAATCTATTCATGAGTTATATCAAACAAATAAAATTTCGGACGAGCCGAACAAGAACAAGCTGTTTACTTGCTTATGCTAGACTCATTCACAACCCTTAGCATCAGTGATAGTTGACAACAACAGTCACTGATGATCAACGTCAGACTTCATTGACAATTGTTAGCTGGTGCCAATATTGATCGATGAAGCTCTAGACTTCTCCGAGTCCTAATATTCTTCGTCAATCTATAAAAATAAGGCTTATTTATAAATTTTTGGAGAGTGCATTATGATCATTTCTAATGAGATATAATCATTAATTGTTTAATATTCTTGCACATCATAGTGCCATGAGCTTATAAGATTTATTTCACCTAAATATTAGGTTTAATTTTAAGCATATAAGATGCATACAATATTTAACACATTAAATAATGTCTAAATATTACATTTAACATTAGCATTTGGTTATGTAATTTTTCTCTTATGTCGTATCCATATATTTTGTGTGAATTTTAATCTACTTGTAAGAAGTTTTATTTGAACGTGGGTTCGTTACGGAGAACCTAAACTCAAGGATGGAAAAAGTCCGGGCACGGCCACCAACCTGCCAAATGGCTCAAATCCCGCGGGCTATCAGTTCGCCGCGATTCCTAAACCCCGCGCGCGCTCTTATAACTTCTTGTTACTTCGAAAGAGAAATTGAAAGGAAAAAGTTTGCCGATGCATCCCGTTCAGCTGATGAGTTCTGGAAAGCAAGAATTGCTTAATCGCCCTGGGCGTCGCACGCCGGAGGAGATGGAGCCGCTGGTAGCTCCGCCGCCGACGAAGGTCTGTGCTCCCTTTTAGTTTTATTTTCTTTCTTATTTTAAACCATATACCTACGGATCATCAATTGAGTTAGAGTTTTTCTTCTGCAGAAAAGGAAATTGAGCAAGACTGAAAATGCGAAATGTAATGAGAAAGAGTTCAAGAATACCTTCTGCAAAAATGGAGATGATCAGGAGAAGGTTTTTTTAATTTTTCTTATCGCGTGCATTATTTGATCGATAACTTTGAAATATCGTCAAAATCCATTCATATTCTTTAGTTTTATTTGTTCGGACATGCTGATTAGAATGAATTTCAGGTTCGGGAAGTAGCAGGAGGAGGATCGCAGGATGTGACTGTGGCGTTTCATAATGCAAGTGAAGTGCCTTTACGTGACAAGAAAGACGGTGAAATTTTAAAAGTGAGATATGAATTCTGGATCTCGTTTTTGGATTCCTTTAGGCTGATGTGTTGAAATGCGGTTAACATTTTTTTAGTTATTTTTTAGCTGTACCACCAAAAAGATGGTCTTTAAAGCTAACTATTGATCCTTACCACTGCACGCATGAACTCCTTGTCTGGTTTCTCCTCATGCTAGAATATCTTTCATGCGTACAATTTCGTCATTGTAAAGATTTTCTTCTGTCTTGATCTGGATAATTTGGAAAAGACGTTTTATCTATTATTAAAAAGTTTTTTGAACCAACCGGTGAAGGTGGAAACCTATCATCCATTGTCCAGTCAGAAAAAAAGTTAAAAAAATAACACAACATGGAAACTATTAACTCTCCATCTATTGTGTATGTTTCATGCTTAGCTTGATGTACATATGACACATCATTAATTTATAATGAAGTTGATATGGATCTTGCTCTAATACTAGGTATCTCATTTTTTGTAATGGATTCATGCGTCATATTGTGTTTGCATTCATATCATATTAGTGAAATTGGTAGAATGTTTAAATTGTTATAAGGTTGGATCATCAAGGGCCTATGTTATATCTTATATAGCCATGGTTAGGCACCCATCAACCCAAAAGCTTAAAATAATGGGTGAACATCACTACTAGTTTTTTAGTAACTCAACTCTTATTTTTACTCTTGATGTGAGACCATATTCATTCTCATATGTGCCTTAATAATATCTCCCTCACTTGAGATTCTTTTTACATGGGTTACCATCGCCTCTCAAATGAGAGGTTTCTAATACCATTAAATGTCAATAACCAAGTTCCAACTAAACTACTTGGAGCCCTCATGAGACTTACTTGCTCTTGGATTCTGTTCGATCATGGTGGTAGTAATCAAAATCTATGAGAGTCACAAACTTTACGTAATGCGTGATCCCAACTAGACCACAGGTTCTAGGAATTTTTTTTGAATGGTGCGTCCCTATGGGTCCAAGTTAAATCCAATATACTTGTTGGTGGACACCTATCAACTCAAAAGCTTTAACTAATAGAAAACTTGTACTTCTATTTTTGATGCGGCACGCCGCCAACAATATTTCCACTCTTATGTGTAACTTAACACAGCCTGTGCAGACCTAAATATAATAAAAGAGACAACAAATGCGGCCTTGTAAAGACTTGTCTGGGTAATGTTGTAATTTATATTGTGTGTTAAAATCCAATTTGATGCATTAGTATGTCCATCATTTGTTCAAAAATTGATTGGAAATCTCCAAACTTAGCTTGCATGTATCCAAATTACGTGTCATCCATACCAATCAAAATGTTTTTCAAATCTTGAAGCTTTAAAAATATCTATTTGTATATTTTCATGCACTTCTGCCATGTCTTCTCCATGTTTTCTTTTTTTCTCTGAATTTTTTTTAAAATCTTATTAATCTTCTTTGTTTGTGTTTCTCGTTTCTTTACCCTTGCTTTTCAGATTTTACAAATTAGATGTAGAAGTTTAACCTAGAACACTTGATAGTAAAATTAATTCTTTAATTTAATGTTAGAGTTTTGTTGTCTCTTTGATACAAGCTAATATTTGAATTTTATAGGTTTATAGTGATCTTAAGCAAGGAACCAGAGGCATGCTACAAACTTGTCAAAGCAAGATAAGGAAATATAAAGAAGAAATGGCTAAAGCACCTCAGGCATCTCATCATGATGATTGCAAGGAGAGACCAAAAAACTGTCAGCGTTTTTCTTTGTTCAAGACGAGAAATCTTAAAGGTATGATGTATATGCTACATAATTTTTTTTTCTCGAATTCTATAAAAAGAACTGTAAGCCATGAGTGGCAAGTTGTTTCTCCTGTGGAAGTATTTGTAAGGACTGCATGCCAAGTTTTTTATGATAACTTTGAAAAAAAGAACTAATATTTTTTATTCATAGTGAATTTTTTGGGAACTCAATAATAATGAACATCATTATTGTGGTTCTGCACGAGGTTGCTCTGGTTACTATATGTGCATATGAATAATGATTTCTAAAATAATTGAGTTTTAGTTGAGTTGTCGATCCCAAATAGTTGGAAACTTGGTGTAAAGTTCATGATGATGGGTTTCAATTCGTTTTTTCTGGGTGGGAATTATCTGCCTTTCGATCCAAACCTGGTCTTATGACATATCCCGTCGCAATTAATAGGGTAATTCCAACAAGCCTTAGTAGTCTTCCTAGACTTGCCAAGATTTTGTGGAGGTTAATTTAATGAAGTTCATGTACTGTTATTTAGAACTGAAGAAACTAATGATAATTCCAATGGCAAAATGAGGAAAGTTTACAAGATTTTTGTTAGCCGCTTAATCACTTAGTTGTCTCATAATCTTCATAATTTTATTCCTTTTTTACTGTCTCCTGTTTTAACTCTCTCTTCCTCTGTCTTATTTGCTATTGAACTTTGAACATTCATTCAGGTTGTAACTTACTGAGAAAAGTTCACCTTTTTAGAAAAGTTGATTTTACTGATGACACTTCTAAACTACACCCTGATTGATAAAATATTCACATAGCACAGTTTCCTGGTTGGTTGTATTTTTAGATGTTAGTAATTTTGCCTTATGTTTTACCATTTACTTTTTTGCTGTAATTGAGTTAGTTTTTGTTTTATAATCTTTTTTTTTTGTGCTGTAATGAAGTTCTTTCTATTTTCAGATCTATTACCTAGTAGCAAGTTCCATTCTGTCAGAAAAAGGACGCCAGTTTCATACAGAGTTGAGCATAAAAGAACTAATTGTAGTTTATATTCACCAAATGCGCATGATTCAGAACCAAAGGTGGATGCTGCTGCCAATAGGAGAAACTATTTTCCCATAACAATGCCAATGGAAGTTGCTCAAAATGGAACTCTTCCAGTAGTCTCTCAAGTTTTGGAGAGGAGAGCTACTGAAAGTGACCTTTTTCCTGTTTGTCCAGTTGAAAGAATGGTGAGATTCTATGTTCCATCAAGTTCCTATCGGGAATGTGCTTCTTGTAACTTTTGTGTCATTCCTATTAAAATTGAAATTGGGTTTCGTTCAAATTAACTGCTTCCTCTCTTTGACATGTCTAGCATTCCGTCAATGGGACACATAACTTGGATTTCAAAGGCTCAGTAGGGGATGCACGAGGGTTGGAAGTAAGAAAGAAAATCACAAAAGCATATGTTAGAAATAATAAACGAAAACCTTTCTTCAAAGGTGTGCCTGCCTCCTTTTCACATTGTTTGTTCTCTGTGTGTGTGTGTGTGTGTGACAACAATCTTATACTCTTAATTTGATATATATCTATCATATTTTTAATAGTGGAACCCTTTCAAACATGTAAGTATTCAGTGGACACAATTTTTACATCACAACTTGGTATTTGCGATAATTTTGTTTTAACTAAAATTAACTTCAATTGAAGTTTGGTGAGCATTCTAATCTAGTTTTTAAGCAATGGCTGACAAACATGTGATTTCAGAATGTTATGATTCTACTTTCAACATGTTTCTTGGTGATCTATTTGTGAGCAAATCTGATAAGTATCAAAAAAGACCAGCCCAAGGGCTTCAAATGAATATTCCAATTCGATTAACTTCTCTTTTTGGGTTGTGTTCATCCAACTAATACTATTTTTGGTTGCATTATCTAAACTGTTGTAGGTTAGCAATGCCCTTGATTTTGGCTTAAGGTCTGAATCACCCCATGTTTATTTGGTAGAAACATAATTTCTTCTTTGATTAAATGTGCTGCATGCTAGTGATGACAATACTTTTTGCAAGCAGAGTCGACTAACTCTTTAAAAAGAACTTGCTTTTCAAACAAAATATGTAACTCCAATACATTTAGAGTTAGGAAGTAAAGTTTGTGCAATCAGTTGTTAATTAGAATTAGTATATGGTAATGGATAAGATTAGGTATATATTTCTAACTTAGCCGCTTCGTATGTTCATAATCTTAATTCTCTTTATTGTGAAATGTTTTTCCTCGCTTTTCCATCAAATCCTATTCATGGATTCCAAAGTATTATCATTTTAGTTTCTTGTAGTAATGCTTTGTTTTTCTTATTACTTCTATTTATTTTTAATTGATCTAATATTCATAGAATATTTTATTGCTTTGTTTATCATCTGCAGTTGAGAAACTTGATCTTTATGCTTTGCATCTCTTGGCGGACACAGCTCTGAATCATGGATCAGGTTTGATTATTCTTCTACATTTTGCTTATTCTTTTTAGCTTTAGACATAATTTAATTGCAAGGTTATCTTGTAATCTTCAGTCATCTTTGTAGTTATTGCATTTTTTTTATTTCTTTTTTGAATCTTGGGATTCATCCTTTTGGCGTTTCATTTGCAAAGTACCGGTTTTGGTTTCTACGAATACAATATTCATATTAAATATTTTTTCCCTCGTTCCTATTATTAGTATGTTGTGTTTTAATTTTTGTATGTACAACTATGATTATTTTTAGATGTACAAACATATTAAATTTTTGTATGTACAAACTTCTGAATTATAGGTGTTTTTCCTTATATTCATGTTGTTTTTGATTATTAAAGAAGAAATTAGCTTTGCCCTAATTTCTGTGGGAAATCATGCTCATTTCTGCCTCTTGGATCGTATCAAATTGGAATAAAAACAATTGAGTTATTGGAAATTAACTACGAGTTTGCAATGACATCTATTCATGACCTAGCTTCCATAAATAGTCTCGATTCGAGCAATCTAAGAGGACAACGACGGGATCGACTTGAGATTCATTCACGAGTGGACCTTATCGGAAGCCAACGGTTGGATCGGCGTGTACATACGTGACCAATAGGGTTGTCAAGACGGCTCGTTGTTCGCGAACAGCTCGTGTTTGGCTCGTTAAGAGGCTTGTGTTCGGCTCGTTCGCTAAGTTAACGAGCCTAACACCAACAAAGATTT